CTGTCGTACCCATGCGAGTCTTTCCCCTCTCCACTAATATCAGAAAGAGAGAGAGAGAGAGAGAGAGAGAGAGAGAGAGAGAGGTGGGAAGATGGAGAGATAGAAAGAAAGAAATGGGTGGAAAGAGAGAGAGAGAGAGAGAGAGAGAGAGAGAGAGAGATTGATAGATAGATAGAGAGGGGGAGAGAGAGAGAGAGAGAGAGAGAGGGGGGAGAGAGAGAGAGAGAGAGAGAGAGAGAGAGAGAGAGAGAGAGAGAGAGAGAGACGGAGAGAAAAAATGATAGAGAGAAAAAGAAAGAAAAAGACGAAGACAAAGAGAAAGAAATAGAGCAAGAGAAAAAAAGAGAGCGATAGAGCGAATAAAGGGGAGGAGGGAGAAAGGGCAAGAGGGGAATACATATAATAAAGAGAGAGGTAGAAAGAAAAGAGAGAGAGCGAGAGAGAGAGAGAGAGAGAGAGAGAGAGAGAGAGACAGACAGACAGACAGACAGACAGACAGACAGACAGACAGACAGACAGACAGAGGCAGAGAGAGGAGGGGAGAGAGAACGAGACAGACAAAGAAAGAATGAGAGAGTCAACGAGAGAGGGGGAGAGGGGCAGTTGGCGAAAAATATTTACAGCAAAGTATCAAAGGCCTCATCATAATTTTGTACAGAAAAGTAATAATGATAAAAATAATAATATATGTACTGAAAATGAATATAAAAAACAGTGATTGTGATGATGATAATGACGATAATAATAATAATAATAATAATAATAATAATAATAATAATAATAATAATAATAATAATAATAATAACAATAATAATAGTGGCGGTAGTAGTAATAATAAAAACAATCATCATAATCATCATCATCCTCATCATCACCATAATGAAACCACGACACAATGCACTCACTTCCACACTCGCACTTGCTGTGCACACAGAAGGCGTGAGCGCTGTCATGACACACAGGTGGGTGGCAGTCTACGTCGTTCTGGCAGTGGGTCAGTGAGTACACCGTCACAGCACCTGCAGGGACAGACAACACACTCAGCTTTTGTATTTCTGATCCCTTATACGTGCATTGCGTATTTATTTATGTATGCATATTATGGGTATGTATTTATGTATGTATGTATTTACAATTAGGTATTTAATGAATGTATGTATGCATGTATGTTTAGCGTTGTAAACCAAATTGCCCTTCTGGGATTAATAGAAAACGTAATTTGTTTATGTTTTAAAGTATTTATATGTGTATTTATTCGATTTGGGCGTAAAACAATTCAAAACACCTATAACTATCACAATAGCATTTACAGCAAAGTGTTAAAATCTTCGATACTTACACGCAAAGAGAACAAAAGTCTTCAACATTGTTGCAGGTTTGGGAAAACGCTCAAACGTGAGAAACTGTTCAACGTCTTTGGAGTCCTTCTCAGAGTTAATTCTTACCTTTCGACTGTACCAAATATTTATACTGAAAGGGGAGACACGATTCCCACCAAATCGTGCCCAAAAACCGAAGTTCCGTAGAGAGCCGTGCGTCTGGAACAGTCACGATTCTTGAGAAATGCATAGCTCCCCTAGAAAACAGAGGAGTTGTCAGAACTTCATGATACGTAATACTGGTCAGTTATGCTGGGTCAACTATCGAGGTGCACGCACACGAGTCACGACAAGTTGACCTTAATTTAATGTCAACAGCTTAATAATATGTAGTATGACCTGCCGATGAATTTGTTTGTTCATAACCCCCCCCCCCCCCCCACCCCCCAACCTCCCCACACTTCTTTTCATTTCTCACTCTCCAATTCCTACTGATCTAATTCGTTCTTTCTTTCTCTCAGTCTTATGGTCCCTTTTTCTGCCTTTCTTTCTTTCAAATATTCTCTTCTTGTCAAAGTGTCCGTATCTCCTTTACTTCTTGCCGTTATGCACCAGCTCTCAGTAATATGCGAACGTGGCAGTTTGAGTTTTCTAAACTATTGGAACTCTTTTTTTTCCAAGAAACTAAATGTATATGAAAATAGTTCTGCTTCTCAAACCAACTTAATTAGAAAGTCTATCAGTTCATTTATCTTTTCCCTAATATGTGCATAATAATATAACATTAAAATAGAGAGAGGAAGAATACGAGAGAGAGAAAAAAAAGAGAGAAAGAGAGAGAGAGAGAGAGAGAGAGAGAGAGAGAGAGAGAGAGAGAGAGAGAGAGAGAGAGAGAGGAGAGAGGGCGAGTTAGAGAGAAATATAAATTATATAAAAAGTTCGATACACGCACGTTTATAATAGCATATTTAGTAGATAGATAGAGAGATAGAGAGATAGAGAGATAGAAAGATCGTCTGAGACGAAAACAAAATTGTGTCTCGCCGCGGTGGAATCAGGCGGTCGTCAACTTTTGGGCAAGTAGAATGTTTTTGTTGTTGTTGGGTTGGGTTTGTTTTTTTTTGTTTTTTTTGGTAAGTGTTTTACGGCGCTCGCAACTGCATATGGTCATACGAGCGCGCAGGACACACCAAACGTTTTCAGTAGGAAGGAAATTTTGAATTTTACCCCGGTGTCAGTCGAAGCCTACTCTTATTGATTTTGGACCACCAATGGATCTTTAACGTGCGCAACTTGCACACGGGACCTCCGAGATTCTTCACCCTTGTCCAAGATGGCTAGGTGTAGATCTTACCTACCATTAGATCAAGGGTGCTGCTGAAAGACAGCAGTAAGCAGGAGTCAAGAAGAACGCAGTAGAAAGGCTGCAGAAAGAGTCAGGGGCCCAGAAGAGGAGGGCAAAGGAGGTTAGACGGTGGGGGCAGAAAGTGGAGTCAAAAGCAGACGACAGAACATTGTTAAAGAGCAGGAAAGGGTCTGAAAGGAGACAATTTTAGAGAAGAAACACTACCGTTGCTATCGGATTCGAACCAGGACCTACTGAATAAGAGTCAAACACCCTAACCTCCAGGCCACGAGAGTTCCCCCCCCCCCCCCCCCTTCCAAGTTGACTTATCGATATCATCTGAAAATGTAATCATTTGCCCTGCTTTTGATTTTAAATAAAACCCACCGATCTACTATGAATAGAAATGGAGATTTTTGATTGAATGAAAATTGAGGGGGGGGGGGGGGGGGGGTCGCTGGTTTCATAGGTAAAATTTGTGGGGGAAATGGCCGCCAAAGTTTGGTAATTTCAACAGCTTGAGAGTCCTTTAAAACTGAAAATGTACATAATTATTATGTACCTATAATCAACGGGTTTTTTTTAGTAACATTCACATGGAAATAGGTTTTTATATGAACTTAAAAAGTGTTGAGCCAAAAAAGAAAACTTTGATGAAATGTTGCTAAAATGGCGGTAACAGGTCTATTTCTTTAATTTCTTTATTTTGTGTAATTTTGACAAGCGCCTAGTTTCATCACGAGTCACAATAAAGCATCGCAAAAAGGGTTGTAGGACTTTGGTAGTTTGCACAGATTATTGTTTCGACATATGGTTGTAGCAGCAGAATTGATTCAAATATATAATTTTATAATAAAAATTAATACTGGATAATTATAGATACCATTTTGTATAGCACAAATTCCGGCACAACACAGTGAGTGGTTTGCGGGTGCTCTGGTGTGGTTTGCCCCTTCTTTCCTATCAAACATCTATCGTCCTTATCTTCCCTTCTTCTTTTAATGTTTGTTACCATCTTGTAGCACCTCTGATCTTCTGGCGCTCATATGATCTTCTGCAGTTGCGAGCGCCGTAAAACCTCTACTACTAAACAAACCCGCGCAACAGCAAGCTCTATGCGCTTTACAATCTGTTTTTTTTTTTCAGCAGACCTGATAGCTTTCTGAAACAATCTTCAATTCGTCGGAAGCATACTTGTGAGTGTGCGTGTGTGTGTGTGTGTGCGTGTGTGTGTGTGTGTGTGTGTGTGTGTGTGTGTGTGTGTGTGTGTGTGTGCGTGTAGTCGTCTTTTTGTGTTTATTTCAGTCTCTAGTCTTTGGAACTTACATGACCTAATTGTGTTGAAAGTAACGTAAAACTATTACTTAAACACATTTTTCAAAAAAGAAACCAGGCGCTCGTCAAAATACTGAAATCGAACAAAACGATTTTTTTTTCACCCGTTAGACGATTTCTTTTATATATTTGTTTTCCATTTAGCTGAAACCATGTTGAATCCTTTTAAAAGGACTTATCTTTGTAGATTTTGCTAAAAGAACAAAGAAACAACATTGATCAAAGACACAACAAGTAAACCTGTAGTTTCTAAGGACACTCAAGCTTACAAAGTCACCAAACTTTGGCGGCCATTTTGCCATTAAATTCACATCTGACACTAGGCCATCCTCATCCTCAATCGCAAAAATCTCAACTGCTATTCAAGATCAGTTAATTTTCTTCACACCCTCGACCCAGGTCTTCCTTGGTCTTCCTTTCACCTTGTACGCCTTGTACCCTTTTGTTATACGCTTTATTGGCAAGCAGGTGAGGTGCTATACGTGTCAACCTGATTGTTTGCCTCTGAATGTAAAGGAGGGCTTGTGTTGTTCCTACCATTTATCTGATCCTGGTGTTTCTGATCATGCCCCATCTGGTTTTGTTGATGGCTCTCCTGAGGCATCTCAACTCGCAAGTAGTTCTCTTGCACCCCATACTTTTGATCAAGAATTTTGCAATGGTAAAAACTAAGATTGACAAGTAAACTAAGATAGTAAGAGTAAGTGCCAAGACGGGAAAGGTAAATAGCTAGGCGATGCGTACTACAGCCAAGACAGGACACATGGAACAGCTTTTGTTGGGTTGGAATTAATTTTGAATTTTGCCCGGATGGTGGCTGAAACCTACTCTTTTACTTTTAGTTTTAGTAAGAGTTTTACAGCACTTGTAATACAGTAAGATCATATAAGTGCCGAAGATTAGAGGAGTTACAAAAGAGTACTTTACTTTACTTTTACTTTTTCATCCTCTGTTGCCGTTAAGCGTCGAGGGGAGATGCAGTTTCCTATGGTAGGCCAGCTTCGCAGCTCTTTCA